TTTTGCTGACATATAAAATTATTCGAGTTTTAAAAAAATATGTAATACTGTCCAATTTTTAATATCTAAAACTTTTTTCTATCAAAATAAAACTTTAATAATAAATTAAATTTTATTATATTATTATAAAAATACATCTTCATGTATTAGATTGAATTATTTTTCGATATATTCTACATAATATCATTTATCATAAATATTGTATTATAATATTGCAATATTAGAATATTATAATACAATTGAATCGCGCTCGAATTTAATATTTAAAATAATATCTTAAAATATACGTCATATCTTTAGCAAAATATTCTTCTTGGATCTCGAACTCTCTACTGATATTTTTTAAAATATTCTTTTCGATCATCTGTAGGTCAAAATGAATCGACTGTAGCTCGCGCAAAAGTATGCACATAGAGAACTGTGTAACCAACAGATATTTCCGACAGGTGCATGGTTTTCAATTTTATTCTGTTCTACATTGTTTGCTTCTATATCATTGTTATGCCTATAAAATATAATTGTGTTATAATACATTATAAAGATAATAATTAAAAATTACAATAATTGAAGCCTAAAATAGATATTAAAAAATGTAAAACATATAATTTCCATTTTAACAGTGTTATATCGAGCACAATTCATCGATATTGTTAAACGAATACAGAACAGGTAGGAAAAAAGTCTCTTATTATCATATCTGTAAGATATAATTAGAATATTAATTAAATAAAAGTGCATGTAAGGCTTTTTTTATACTTTGTAGAAGCTATGTGTTACTTTATTAGAAATGAGATCGATAAGTCAGACTGTTACTATGACGCAGCGAATTAATGGACTGCATTGTACATAATCTATATTCCAAAATTCACAAATGCTGAAAATCTATAGTATATGATATGTAAACTATAGATTTTTATTGCTGGCAGTGAATTTTGGAACACAACCTAGAAGCACTAATGCATGGAGATTATTTAAAACGGACATGTTTATTTTCAAACTTCTCTCTAGTAGAAATTAGTGCATGTACCTGCTACCAATAGTAGGTAACGAATATTGTGTAATAATATTGCGACATACAATTTATATTTTATTTAACTGACAGACACACTACTGATAATAGAAAAAATTTTATATTTCTCTTCTAGAAAAATTAATTGTCTAATATAATTATTTTTCTGTTATCAATTTTTTTTGTTCCGTATTAAATTAAAAATTGATAATTTTTTCTTTTTATAATAATTTTTATATTTCAAAATATAAGATGTATTTGGGTACAATTAAACATTAACTAGATAGTTCAGTATACATTTTTCAAAATTAGCTCATATGACACTTTAGTGACATCTTTAAAACGTATATTATATTTTTTTAATATCTTACATCCCGATTTTGGACATATGTAAATTTTATTTACAATTTTAATTTAATTTAATTTTAATTAAATAAGTAAATGTAAATAAAATTTACATATGTCCAAATTATGTCCATATTAGTAGAATTCTATATGATGTGTATAAAAATAATTTTCTTCAATTTGTTATATATTAGTTGCATATATTAGTATTACATAGACTTCACAACACAGATAGTAATTAATTTTTAATAACTATGTTTTAAATTTATAACATGGCCTATTATTATTAAAAACGTCCAAAATTGTGCCTTGATCAAGAGAATTTTTAACGCAAATTTGATTAATAAAATACATATAAGCTCAGTCCAATAATAATTATTATGTAAACCTAATTTAATAATAATCAATAACAGATAAATTAAAATAGTAGTAATAAAAAATTATGCAATAATACAGAAAAACATGTAATTAAAATGTGAAATCAAAATGTGATAATAATGTCATTCTCTATAATAATCAACTAAATATTAAGGAAAAATTCGCTTCTGCGAATATTCGCAAATACATCAGCTGGTTAACAGTAAAAAAATATCAGCTGTTAAAACGTTCCTCAGACGAGCAAGCAATCTGCCGAATCGTAGTATAACTGAATTCTTGCTCAAAACAGGGATAACCTAATTGCACGTACCTCTCCTGAGAATGGGCGAAATAGACGGTGCTAATTTTCAATGGTGAAAGTACACGAATAGTGAAAGTCTAGCAAGACGCAACTTAAAGCAACCACCGAGTTTATATGTAATCGTGGCCGCGTTCCGTATAAATAACTCATATGCATTGTGTACGAGATACATCATCCGTAGATCGAGTTTTTTTTGCCGCGATTCATTCCGTGCGTTAATGATAAGAAATCGATACTGAACCCGAAAAAGCATGCGATTTTATTACATGACTAGAACGTGAAATGTCTATTAAGCTTTAATTATATAATATCAATTAAGCTTTAATTATAACACTACACAAAAGATTTATTGGAATTGATCTTGTTACAAAAATAAAATATATTAAGCATAGCAATTATTTCTTAAATTGTTACATGTACGTTTTGATCTTGATAGCAAGTATCTCACTTTAATTTATACTAAGTATAAATTAAATTCGCATCACGTATTAAATTTTACGAACTGTAACAAATTATACTCTATTAATGCCATGGTACGCATATCGTGATAATTTTACTTTTCCTAGATTTCTTAAAAGGAAATTTATTCTCATCAATTTATAGAAATTTTAGCATTTAAAAGAATACAGGAAAAGAGTGAACAAAAAATTTAACATAAAAATTAGATAATAAAGGAAAAACTATATAAAATAAACAAAATAATTTCTCAGATAAAAATAAACTTTTATGATATACAGAATAGAATAATATCAAATTTAATTTACAATTCTTAATAATTTCTATCAATAAAAAGAAGAAATAAACGGCGTCTTTAATTTTAATTTATTTTTGAAAGTACATATTTGTCTTTGTACTTTATAAAAAGTATATCTACCGCTTCTATATATATTGGGTTGTCCGGAAAGTTCGTGCCGATTTTGAAAGAAAATTGAAACGCAGAAGATTTAAATTTTAATATACATTTATTAAATTTAATTCTTTTGCGGCATGAACTTTCCGGACAACCCAATATATATAGAGTGAAAAATTGAAATTACAAAAATAATTCTATTCTCTTATTGAAATGTATATCTATGCTTATTGAAATGTATATACAGACAACAAACAGAAAGAACAAATAAATGAAGAGGAGACCTTAAATAATAACAAAACACAAGGAAAAGTATAATGATTTAAGTAAACAGAAATTGACTGTAATAGGAAAACAGACATTTATGTTTTTTCAAGATAAAATAAACAAAAAGTGACAGCTATCTGAACCTATTACAGGGTCAAATTATTAATTCGAATGTAATTGCTGACACAGAATTTTCTTCTAACAAGATAATGCTGATGTTAGTACGCAAGAATAAGTATTAAAAAAAAAGATTTCTGTAGTGTATGTTTTGATTTTTTAATATATAGATTAATTATTTTAAGAAATAGAAGGAAAACAATTTAAAAATATCAATAAGTTAAAAAGCTACACTAAAATAAAGTGAAGTAATTTATTTAAATAAAATTCAAGACTTATATAATTTACTATTACCTAAGCGATTGAAATCATGGAAAATAGAGAAGATTCTACGCATTAATAAAATAAATAATTAATTTATATTATATTGAAAATCATGCGTATATAAAATATGTAATATATCTGCATATACTTTTTAAGTATATACATTATATCTGTATATACAATTATATCTGTATATACTGTATATACTTTTACTCTTATTTTGTCCCATTTATATGCTATTATCATATATAAAAAACTTAATAAAGTCATGTCAAATCATGTAAAATCAATTTACACGTTTTTTTAAATTTCAATGATATGATATTTAATTTTCACATTGACGTAAAATAATAAAAGTGACATTGATAACTTTTAAGGTACAAAGTATAAACATCCATGTGCTATATTTTGATCAGGCATAAATCTAATAAATATAGCAGCTTGTATAATGATATACCAGCAATAATAAAAAATAATTATGTAAAAAAATTCATATTAAATTTTTGTAAATGCAATTCTGCATATATTATAATTCACATATGACTCGCATATTCTTTGCGTGTTTTGAAATTTACGTCGTTTAATATCTATGCATGTTTCAAAATATACGTTTAAAATTTATTTTAACATTATTTTATAAATGCGTTTTTATATTCTTATACATAAAAAAATAACATAAAACAGAAAAAAATCTTTAATATTACTTTAACTCACT